TGTAGCAGTAGCGTACGATGACATCAAAGGAGCCTTCTCGAGCAGTTGGGTGATCAGCGGGAGCGCAGGTGTTTGAGAACCTTCTAGTAATGTCAGGCGACGAGCATAGTAACAATACGGGGAGCAAGGCAGGGACTTCCATCTCCCAGTTTTGCCTCGTGATTATCTCGCTTCGATTCTTTCATTTTCGATTCAAGCAGTGATTTTTTTTTATCGCGGAAAGGGTAGTTTTCCAACACATGAAGGTTCCAGCTAACACCCTGCAATGCGGCAGACTAGTAACTTTGAATTTTCCCCACAGATGCCTCATAGTGCCCGCGTAGAGCAGATGGAGACTGTGTGATAGTTTCGTGCCTTTCATCACTGAAATGGGTAGCGCAGTAGCGAGCGGAGGTAAGAAGCTGCCTGTTGCTACAGCACTTGTCTTCGAAAACTGAGCTTAGTACAAGTCTGCCACAGGCAAACATTTTTGGAGCACCAATTACACTCGATATAGACATTTTTCTTTTATTAAAAATGGCAAGACTTCCGTCTAAAGCTTGAAGAAGCAGGGAAAGGAGGATGGGAAAAGGTTCATCCACCTCATATCTCCGTCCGCCATGGGGTTAGGCAAAAATCGTCAACCTACTGGCTTTCTTTGCGTCTTCTAGCACTGAAAGCCGTCCATGGATGTGTACAGGAGGGTGGTGCAGTAAAAAGGCACTTCTGCCATCCGAGGTAGTAGCTTTAAGGAAGTTCTGATAGCCGCCTCTCCCTACGCAACGGAGACGGCATCTACAATCTGCAAGCTGTGCAAAAATGCCTCATGCAAAGTTCAGTTCGCCGATTCCAACTCCTGCTTAGCCATCAAGCGCTAACAACGCCACATTTATATTGAAATTGAGTGCCTGAGCTCAAAACCTTTACTTAACTCAAGGTGAAATATTAGGTTGGCGGGAAAGTTCTGTCACATTTTTTCAAATTAGACTTTCTTTTTACAGAGAGGCGTACAAGATCAAAATTATACAGCAATGTTATTGAGAGATCCTTGCCAGTTTTTGGACAGTTCGTGGATGCCATCGCTTAACAATGCACGCCGGCGCGACGCAAAGTTGGACATCATCTCAACTTTGACTTGGGCTCAAGTCGTGGAGGTTTTCTCGGCTGTATAACGGTTGAATACGGGAGGCGACTAGCAGTCAGAAAGAGCAATGTCTGGACTACACCGGTGCAGGGGAGAGCCATCCAGCTCTATTGGATGAAGTACGGCTCGCAACTTTTTTTGACGGGGTGTGCTGCACCAGCACGTTGAAGACGGACTAAGCCAATGGATTTTGCCCTTTGCTTGACGTCGCGTTCTCGTACTGCTTTGGCGTAGCGGATTGACGGCGAGGAGGCAGCTTCTGTGATCCAGGTTCCCCACCTGCCGCTATCTAGAGCTGATTTTACAGGTACTCCCGAGCCATCGACTTCCGTCATTTCGATTACCGTAGCCTCCCGCTCCACTAAAGAGCTAGCGGTTCGGTGGAAGATTGTCTGATGACTGTAGACATTGTCCTTGTGCAGCTCCATTATTTCGGCGTCGACAGCTGCCATGCTGGCGCCAGGGTGGTAGAAGAATAGTTTTTAAGGAAGCGCTTGAAGGGCGTCGGGTGGCGAAGGTGAACGCAGTAACCTGTGTCCATAATGCAGAATTAAGGATGAGCAGGAGCCGAGCCAGTGACACTAATAGAAAGATCAATCCTTAATGTATAAATGCTCACATTACCGGTTAGCCCTCTTCAGGTAATAGGCGAATACTTGGGGTTCAAAAAAGTATGACAGAACTTTCCCGCCAACCTATATATTATGGCACACTGCTCGAGTTGGTAATGACCGTATTCTCAGAAGTGGTTCGCGTATGGGTCAGCATAAGCGAACAGTATCCATGAGATATTCGCGGTCTGTTGCTAATTGTTAGTTTTACTGGTTTTTTTAAACATTTTCTTCGCCCAGGGACTGGCAGCAGCTGCTCCAATGTCGCCTTCGGCGCTTCTGATCGCGGTAGATAACGAAAGGTTGCTGAGACTAAGGTATTTTATGCTGATCACAGGTGACAATGAGCGCAATGCAACGTCTGCTTTCTGATCAGGTTTTAAGCATGATGTTGTTTAATTGTAATTCTTCCATATCTTATTCTTTATTTCAATGAAGGTCCATTTCATGTTCGCTGGCCGCCTTATTGGAACATTGGAAACAAAATTATAGTCGTTATGCCATATTTATACTTGCTACAACACCTTAAATATGGTACGCTACCTTATTCCTGAGAAGTTGCAGTCAGCCAACACCTTATCTCGAAAAGTATTCCAAACAGACGAAAACAATGCAGTGAGCAGGGAAAGTAACAGGACATTTTGCACAAGACTGAGAAAATGGATCGATATAAACCAAGAATCTCAACAACCGCTTCGTATATGTACATTTTTACTAGGACTAAGAGCAATTCTTCGTTATTTACACTACTGCGTCAAGTCACCAAATGAGATTTTATCGTCCTATTCCCAATCCGCTTGAAACACGCATAGGTCCGACCTCCTCGGAACGTCCGACTCCTATACAGAAGAAATACCAAAGATTCCACGCACTGAGGTCAGATGACTAGTCAAGGGTCTTTGTTTACAAGAACACAAAAGAAATTAATAAACAATAACTTACCGCCTAGACCTCCGATTCCGGGAGCACCCACACCAGACCTGTTGACTCGCATTATCCACAAGTCCACCACCACTACCAAAGCCTCCTCCACCTCCAGTTCTGGTACGGGCTCCTGAAACAACAGTTTGAATTTTTCGATTTTCTCTTTCTTTGGTTGATTTTCGAAGGAAAGCTAGGCACTCACGTGACTCCGGTACTCTGCTGTTGCTTGCCGATGACCGCTCCTCTTCTCTTTCTTTGATTCGAGCTCTGGCGGCAGCTATCTCGGAAGTTTCTGACGTCATGTCAACTGCAAAGTGTTCGGGGGGTGTTGTCCGTCTCGTCACCACTCGAGCTGCGTGCTTTATTTCTCGGAGAATTGTGATTCTCTAGTTCGGGATAACTGCAAAGAAAGGGACAAAGAAGCACAAAGTTATACCGCGTGCCTTACACTTAATTTCGTTTAGAGTAGTAAAGGATTGTGGACCCTGGTTATTGCTCTGTCGTTTACACAGTCCCTGATCCCTTACCTTGGAATTCAGATCGAAGCAACGTGCGCGGAAGTGCCTACGTTACAAAATTTCTTTGCTGGGCGGCATATCAAACCCTAGAGCCACTTTTGACGTGGTTGCAAGAAAGCTGGGCTGTTAGTGTCTTCCAGTATGTGAACATCAGCCTCTGAAACTCCGCACGTGTAAATATCGAAGGCCTCTTGGAGCTGGCGGACGATGGTGGAGTCAGGCAGTTTTCGGCAGGGGTAACTTCGCAATGCGTCGCAAAATGTTGTCCGCAGCGTTCGCGCTCGAGAAAGCAGGTTAATCCTACTCATCCAAGCCTTTATAAAGTTACTTAATGTTTCAAATACTAATTCTATGGTTATTTCTGTTCGTATTTCAAGAGCTGCTGCGCGCTCAGTGCTGGAAGATGAGAAAACGCAACTGCGAGCCAGGGAATGGAAACATGCGGCGGACATATTTATGAGGTTGTCCCAAAAAAACTGAGGCTATTTTTTCTCGCATTAAATCTTTCCGCAGCTATTTTGCGAGGTCCACTTGTGATTAATGGATGTGTGTTAGGTTGGTGGAGGCGCACACGCGTCAGAATTCTATACTATCGGCTGGCCGTGCGGCCAACCAATTCAGACGGTGCGTGGTTCTATAATCTACTGACTCCAAACTAGTACAGCGGGGCCAAAAAAAAGTGTATTCCGGCCGAGTCACATATAACGATAGTTTTCGCGAGCCCAAGCTAGAGGACCGTGGATAGGAGTACCAGGGCGAGAGATAGCACCAACGATGTTCCTCACAGCAAGACGGCCTCGCCATCACATTTCATGTTAACCAAAGTCACCCTCGCATCGCACCTGACTGGAGTAAGACGCTTGTTTGAATTCATGTCACCTCCAAACAGCTGCGAAATTTCTAGTATGGAGTCACCCATGGATAGCTACCTGGAACAGTACTCTCGATCTGGACGACCTCCAACATCGAGCCTCCGTATAACATCGCCACACGTCTTAAGACGTCAATCTTCAGCCTCAGTCCGCCAGGTGCCAGTTGAGGTGTGGGAACCGAACGTGACCTGGAATCGCGAAAGAGACCGATATTTTCTTCGTGGACCCGGACTGAAGGTGAGCGCTGGCGGTTACATCGAGCAACTCGAGAAGAATATCCTCCACATGTCGTCGCCCGTACCTTCTTGGAAACTTTGTACTGCTACAGGATTGGGTGACGCCACATGAAATCGAAGCGCGCTGGAAAAACTCTCGCCTACTTGGAATGGAAGGGCGTTGAGTACCTGGAAAAGATGGAACATCTAAGCAGGTCACCTGAACGAAACCCATCAATTACCTGGTTCGGACGGAGTTCAATAGGGTGGTCTACAGTGGCGGAGAAATCAACGATCTCGCTGAACTCAGGCACCCACTCACGGTCGCGTGGCAGAATCTCTCGATGGCGCTCCTCCAGAAGGCTGCGGCGGGGCATTTAATAGCTGCGGCGGGGCATTTAATATTCTCTTTAATATGGTGGTAGAAATGTGTGATAAGAATTGAAAGGTGTAACTTATAGCGCTCGTTGCGGAATTCAGGAGGGACAAGTCTTTTTTTGGCGCCCCCCTTCTGTATATTTGTTGTTGGAGAACTTTCTCAGTGGGAAAAACTGACTCAAAGAAGGCTCGACATAGTCACAATTCAGTGGGAGATAGCTGATATTTTTGTGATACATAATCACTTTTGGACTGGGAAGCACATCCATGTCACGAGATTTTGTCTGCACGCTGACAGCACTTCTTTCGCTTTTTTTCCTCATTTTCAGTTTAACTGGACCATCCCATGGCCCGTACTTTCATTTTTGGGTTCCTCTGCATCGGCTAGAATTCGGGCGGCTCACATTAGAGCCAACAGTGACAACAGTATACTGAAGGAATTCTTTCAAAGTCATCTTCCCACTCACCTCTTCACTGGTGATTTCTGGAAACTCTTCAGAGATCTCCTTCGCTTTGGATTTCGCATTCACAAACTTCTTCTCCCACATATCCTGAAAGCCACTTTTCTTGCCATGTTTCAGGCTTACTTTTCTAAAGACACATTTTGCGATGGATGGCTAGCGATAGATGGGTGGAGACAATAATACGTTCTGCCTTCCCCATTAATTGCTCCTTCTTACATGGTAAAGAGTAGAGGAAAGCCATGAGTTTCCACCCATTTGACTATCGCCCATTTTGCCTTTTGAGCAATTGGTTCATAACGACGTGTCATAATGGAGTTGAGGTCCCCGTACACGTGTACCCAAATGTGGGAGAAATCTCTTGACCAACCTCATCTTCCCAGTCGTGAGTGGAACCCTTAGTAGACCCTCTTGATTCTGACGTCGCTGACGGTGGTTCTGGAAACTCCTCTGCAAACATTTTCGTTACGAGCACAATTTTGCAGATTTAGAATTATCTCTGTACCGGATTCTTCCAAGGTCTCAATGCGGAACTTCTTCTTTTTGTGATGATGCCTTCGTCGATGAGGTCTATGACGAGAATAGTAGCTTGAATCACCATTATCATAGCTGCCATAGCCTCCGTTCGTGCCAAGGTACGAACTATAACTCTAAGCTATGAACTAAAGCACCTTAGCTCCGCACTAAGGACACACATTCTACAATGCTATTGGGGTAGTAAGGCTTCCAGATCAAAGCACACCATCACGTTGGGCGTATTTTTGCAAGGTACAGTTCTCTCAAACTTTCCCCTCTGGTACGACCAAATTTCTAATGCTCCTTCCCCTCTTCCCGAGTTTTTTTTCAAAGTTCAGGGGTCGAGCGAGGATGGGGGAAAGAACTTCTAATCAAGCTACGCATAAAATAACCTTTTCCACGCCCATCCACAGCTGGGGATTACTGGCGCCTCACAAAAGAGGAAATCCAGCACCCCCCAAACGAAATACTCGGGACCCAAACAACACGACTCCCCGCCCGAGCGAACAACTAAGACCCTAGTTGTGTTAAGAAGGACGGACGGAGAGTCCAGTCTCCAGAGACCAGACATTCTGAAAGGAGAAGTGGAAATTGAGGAGATCTTTTGCGATGATTTACTGCCTAGCAAAATGGAAGCGAAAGACGGAGAGGGGGCTGCAGCTAATAACCTAAAACACAACTAGACAAACAGTTGGCTGTCCCAAGCATTTACCTTGTTGAAATTATTACCAAGGCTATTGCACGCTGAAAAACCCTTCGTTGTACAATAAGCATCACAAATGTGCTCTAAAGGGCGTATACCCTGGAGAGACTATTCATTTACAACATGGAGGTTGCCTGGTTCGACAACAATCGTTCCTGCGATCAGTCAATCACTAAGAAAACAATCGCCAAAAGAACAATTAATTTTTTAATTGTGCCGATGCTTGTGATACCGTACTATTGAGAACACCTAACGCGCGTACGAGAGTCGAGAATCGCGCCGAGAAAAAGCAATTCAGCCGAAAACAAAATGTGGGATTCAAAGTATGGGGTCATCCCCTTGAAAACGTGTAGACATATAGAGGAGTGGCAGGAAGCAAATGGCTACAGTAACAGTGTGGTAACTTTAGCTACGTGGTCTCTGAAAAGTTTGGCTAGCTTGGGCCACCGAGAACTTTTCGAGAAAATGAAGCGAAACAGCCGAATTCAAAATCCTTGTCAAAATCCGCGACGGACTATGGAATCGCGGGCGTCATACAAGGCACTTCCCTGTAAAATTTATCACTCGTGCTGGAAACGCAGTAGTTGCGTATAAGGGTGTTCTCGGAAGGGAATAGAAGATTTGGTCCAGAAGTCCAAAGAAGGATGAACGAGAAAAAGTTGCGGCCCATAATGTTCATTATGTACAAGAAAAGCGGAAGGACGAAGTCAAAAGCTGAATATCTGGTCGTATTCAGGAAGCCACTGCGTTTCTATCAGTTCAGTCTTGCGGGGAGCTCAGCAGGGGGACCCTGCCGAGCTCCCCGCAAGACTGAACTAATAGAAAGGCTGTGGCTTCCTGAATACGATGTGGCCCATACGATGATTTATAGGGGCCACCGATGTCTATGTCAGTGTTGTTATTCCTCTCTGTTAGACGAATCTGGTAAGCGTTCTCGGAAGGCGAAAGGCTTATTTGGTCTAAAGTTATTGTTTTTCAAAGGGGGGGGGGGGGGGGGGGGGGGATACTTTTTGTTCCTCGTGCCGGTTGATTTCTTTCAAAGCATTGCGCGCGACATGGCCGCAAAAGCTTTCCTGTGGGTAACCAATGGCTACACGGAAGAACTCACTGACAACGCACATCCTGATCCATATGGTAAGGGGATTAGGTCTTTAAGTACTCATCAATGTGTCTGGAACCTTGTTCTGTGAACAAAAAGCATGTTCCTGCCGATTCAATGTGACACGCATGTATTTCTACTACCCGAGCTTTTTTTGACAAAACTGAGGAATTCGTGAAGAATCTCTACTTCTTGTGCCTTTGACTATATGATTTAAAAAAGGGAGGAGAAGGGGTGTGCTGACTCCTACGAAATACTCAACGCAATGGTGTGCTCCGAACCGATTACGGCTATTCCTTTTACAATGAATTCTTTCCCACTGAAAAAGATACCTGCAAGGAGTCGGGCACTGACATTGACTGTACATCATTGGTTGGCCGCACGGCCAGCCTGTCATAGTATAGAATTCTGAAATACACGTTAAAAATGAAATAATTTTTCAGTGGTCATAAATCCTTACAGGACAAGCCATGCATGTTTTCTCCCTCATATGCTAAGTTTTTTATTCCTTTTGTGGCTTTCTTCGCCTGTCTTTTTCATATCTTCAATTTCATATATTCCTAAAAATAGGGCAACGAATACGATGTAACGCAGGATCGCTATAGAAACACGTCAGTGTTTACTGATCGACTCCAAGCGGAGAAGAGTCGTTCAGCGTTCAAAGGTTTGGGAAGTCGCCACGGTTGCCGTGCAGG